CTCAGACAGTCACCATCCTCACACTGTGGGGTATGAGGGAGTTAACAAGTTAGCCTACAGACTCAGACATGCTCAGAGCATAGCCCTTTGGTCAGGTCTCTCTGCCCGGCCCTGTAGGGATTACTGATAAATGCCCACAGGACACACCATTCCACCGTAAGCCTCAGCCTAAAGGCACTCAGCTCTAGCTCTGTGGGTCAGCAAACCTGGTTGTTGTTAAGTGCCTTCAAGCAGGTTCCAACCCATAGTAATCCTGTATAGGGTTTCCAAGGAGCAGCTGGTGAGCTTGAACCACCGACCTTATGGTTGAAACCAACTTTATAGTCTAGCGCATTAGCTCACAGCACCAAGCCAGGACTCCTCAGCAAACCTAGCTCCCCCAGTTTACTGCCTGGAGGCGCCCCACTCTGTAAGTGAACATCCTTCCCAAAGTCACTCTGCTTTCCTCACTGTATGGCCAGGGAAGACCACCGTTTTGTGTGGTGTTCTAGTTTAGCTGTGGGTTCCGCTGCGGCTGCTCCTCTGCTCTCCTCCAGTGCATAGCTTTCTGTCCCTGGGCTGAGGAGGCTCACTGCACTGATCTCAGGAGCACCCCACCCTCCTTCTTTTCTTCTTGCTGGTAGCAAGATCCCCACTCTGCTTCTGAGATGGCTCGTTGCAGACCCTGCAGAATGATACCACTGACCCATCTCTCATTAGATTTCTAGTGTTTACAATGAGCAGTCTTGTTAACAATCGCTCACAAGTGAATCGTAAGGCGGGATGCTTCCACTCTGTCTTGTAGAGTCTTCATGAGTAGGAATCCCGAGGGTTTTCAGTCGGTGTGAAGGTACTTTTACAAAACGTCAGGGTCCAGACCTGACCCCCATCCACTGGTTCCATGCACATGGACTACCGCCATCCCTTCTGCTGGTGCTGATACTGCATTCATCCATGCGGGGGCAGAGCTGACCCAGTGCTGGCTCAGGTAGAATGACCCCCTTGCATATGGGACACCCAGGTTTGATTTCCGGCCATGTACAGCCACCACCCATTTGTCAGTGGAGGTGTGTGTGTTGCTGAGATGCTGAACAGGTGTCTGTGGAACTGCCTCGCTGACAGTAGGAAGAAAGGCCTGGCTATCTCCTTCTGAAAATCAGCCCATGAAAACACCACAGATCCCAGCAGCCTGATCCACAACTGATGTGGGCATGGCAGAGGCCCAGGTAGTGTTTCGTTCCATTTTAGACGGCAGTCCGGTCTGACTCTGTAAGTTGTTAAGTTGTTGTTAAGTGTCGTCGAGTCGGTTCCGACCCATAGCGACCCTGTACAGGGTTTCCGAGGGTGTAAATCTTTACGGGAGTAGAAAGCCTCATCTTTCTCCCGCGGAGCGGCTGGTAGTTTCGAACCGCTGACCTTAAGGTTCGCAGCCTGATTCGTAACAGGTAACAATAATTACCAACAACAACGATAGCAGAAGTATAGATTGCATGCTCGAGGGCATGGAATCGGAGTGGGAGAGGAGGCTCATTTGTGTTGGGGGCCCTGTAGGAGAATGTGGCACGGTTGAATGAGGACTGGGCCCTGGCGGATTGTCCAGATACGCAGGACGCCACGTGAGAGAGCACGAGAAGATTTGGGAGTCCACTGTGGTGAGAAGTCATGCTCTGTGGAGCAGGAGTGGAGGGAGGGCCCGGGCACCTGGGGGGGCAGGCACAGCTGTGTAAGAGGGTGGAGGCCGAGTCTGCAGTGGGGCGTGTACTTCTAGAACCCAGACGGCACGTCGGAACCTGGAGTGTGTTTTTGACATGGCGTACGGCTGTTGCTAGTTACCACCCAGTTGATTCCGACTCGAGCTGACCCCACGTGATGTGTGCAGCCGGGAATTACATTCCACAAGAATGTCAAAGCTGTGACCTTCCAGAGGCAGATCACCAGGCCTTTATCCTGACGTGCCTCTGGGTGTGGGTTTGAACCTCCAACCTTTTGGCTGATACTTGACTGCTGAAGCGCTTGGGCCAACCCTGCCTTTGTCAAAGTGTTGTTGTGAAGTGCCATCAATTGGGTTCCAACTCATAGTGACCCTGAATTGGGTTTTCGAGGAGCAGCTGGTGGGTTCGAACCGCCGCTCTTGTGGTTCGCAGTCCAGTGCTGATCCTGTCACACCACACCCTCATTTATCCCCTTTCTTTTTTCAGGAATGTAATGAATTCGTCTACAAGTTTGCAGAAGAAATCCGAAGGCAGTCTTTCGGGGCAGTCACACCTGGCTATGACTTTGTAGCGCGTTTGAGGTACATATCCTGTGTGTCCCCCCGAGAACTCTAGGAAGATGGGGTGCTACTGGCTTCCTGTGACAAGCTCAGCAGCCTCTCTGCTGAAACACTGAATAGCACTTCAATAATTAACGGTGAATGATGCGGCTCGCTTCTCCTTCTTCCTTAGAAGCGGAATGGAGCTGATTCTGCCGCCCAATGCTCATGAACTGGCCCAGAACCGACTCCATGTGTCCATAACCAACACCAGGACCAGGGAAAACTACTTGGTCTCCCATTTTGCCTCCAGGGAAGACCTCATTAAGGTAACAGTGCAGTGAGCAGACTTTGGGGGTGTCAGCCTCGGTTGTGTGGAGTGGAGAGCTCCTACTCAGAGACACAGACCAGTGAGTGGTTGTTGTTAAGTACCGTGGAGTTGGTTCTGACTCACAGCGACCCTGCACAGGGTTTCCGAGGCTGTCAATCTTTACAGGAGCAGAGCGCCTCATCTTTCTCTCATGGAACTGCTGGTAGTTTTGAACTGCTGACCTTGAGGTTAGCAGCCCGATTCGTAAACCAAACCAGTGAGAGCTATAACTAAATGGGGCTGCTTGGTTTTGTCGAGTCTGGAAAGTTTTCCATCTTTGACTGGATGCAGCTGAACCCTTTCCTGCCACTATGTTAGTGTGCAACAATCAGTGCTTTCTTACTCTGGCAGGCTCCCGCCTTAACCTGGTTACGGTTTCCACAGGTTCCACTGTGCAGCAGGCCTGGGGACGAGCGTAGGTTCGGTTCTGGACCTCGGCAGTACATTGAAGGTCGCAGTAAAGGGAACCACACACATATGTTGGTGTCCCAGTGCGCATTAAAGTGGTGTTGGCATGAGACCATGGCCTGTTGACGAGCTCTGGTGGCACACTGGGTTCAGTGTCAGGCTGCTAACTGAAAGGTCAGCAGCTGAAATTCACCAGCCACTCCTGTGGAGGAAGAGGGATGGGGCAGTTGGCGTCCAGCAAGTTTTCCAGCCTCGGTAGCCCTCCTCTGACCTCTAGGGTCGCTGGGAGGCAGAGTCCAGTTCACAGCCAGGGTTTTGTGAGTAGACCATGAAGTATGCCAACAGCATGACGAAGGCCTTGGGGATGCGGTAAGAATGCCCCGGGCAGGACACAGAGACATAAAGCGAGCACTGTATCATGGGGAAATGGCACAGATACACTTGCTCCATGCAGGGCTGCTCCAAACCTTCGCCAATGTTGGGGAAAAAAAAAAAAAAAAAGCAATGTTATTTGCTGAGCGCAAAAACACAGAGTGTGATAAACAAGGTGTGTATCTGCAATTCCTGTGTGTAGGGAGAGCAGGACCCCATCCCTGAGGCCGCTGCCCCATCACCCACCTGGGAGGCAGGAAGTGCCCAGTAGACGATGCCCTAGAGGAATGGACCAAACACTGACCCTCAGGCCACCTCAGGCCCTGCTGGCCTCCAGAGTCCTCTGAGGAACCCTGGTGGCGCAGTGACTGAGTACTCGGCAGGGAGCCCAGTGTTCCTGTCATGACCTTTGACCTCCTCCTTACAACAAAAAGCAGGTGCCTAGTGAAATTTGTTGTTGTTAAGTGCCGTCAGTAGGTTCTGACTCATAGCTCATAGCAACCCTGTATAGGGTTTCCGAGTAGCAGCTAGTGAATTTGAACCACTGAAGTTATGGTTCAGACCAACTTTATGGTTCAGTACTTATCCTACAGTACCACGCCAGGACTCCTGGTACAATTTAGTAGCAATGAAAACTAAGTAAAGCAACCCAAATCGGTTGCCAGAGAGTCAATCCAGGTGCATTCCAGCTCAAGCCCCTGCGGAGAATTTGTATTGCCACCTCCAGTAGGCAGAATAAAAATCTACGCGGACACAAGATTTCCCAGGGGACCCTAATGAGCTCCCTGGGAATCTCGGGAAACTGTAGAGAGAGCTGATTCAAAGCCTCAGTCAGTCCCTGCCAGCTCATGGCCACAGACATGAAGTGTCTCCCCAGTTTTCAGTAACTCATTTTTCTGAAGTACATCACCAGACCTTTTTCCTGAGGCTCCCCTTGTAGATTCGGACCACTAACCTTTCCCGGTCGGAGCCGAGCATGTTAGCACCGTGTGGCAGTGACAGACAGGTCCTGGGACCTGTGGTCTGGGTAAGAGCTTTACCTACACCACCGCACTTGAGTTTGCTGACGATAATTCATAAACAGCTCCAGCAGCACATCGGCAGGGAGCTGCCCAAAGTCCAAGCCGGATTCAGAAGAGCACGTGGAATGAGGGATATCATAGCCGATGGCAGATGGGTCTTGGCTAAAAGCAGAGACTACCAGAAACATAATTGCTGGTGTTTTGTTGACTATGTAAAGGCTTTCGACGGTGTTCATCTTAACAAATTCTGGATGAGAACTTCTCAAGGGGATGGACAGACACAGTGGCCGTAGTCCTAGGGTCACACATAACAATTGTGAGGACAGCGCAGGACCGGGCAGTGTTTGGTTCACCTGTGCTCTGGGTCGCTATGAATTGGAGCCAATCCTGTCACAACTAACAACAACAACAACAACAGTCTTTACAAAACCCAACGGCCACATCTTCCTCCCGGGGAGTTGCTGGGAACAGAGGTGTATCTATGCGAAAAAGCACCTGCGAGGAGCACTGAAATTGCACCCCTGTCCAAGCCCCTGACTCCTGCCCCTTAGAGAACTTTACCATCCGCAAGTCAAGCTCGTGCGTCTTCCCATCACCACAGTACGTCACTGCACGCCAGTCACTGCTCCGTCCGCTTTTCGCTCATGAACATCAACCTGTAATGATCTCAGCATCTTTTTCTTCAGTCTTTTTCCTGTCTCTACACTCAGCAGAGCAGGATCAGTGTGACATAACCCAAGGAGACTCTCAAGTATGACAGTCCTCATTTGAACATGCCAAATGAACTCTCCAGCTGGCAAGGATTCATAGGAAAATGGCTCAGTGGGGCCCAGCCACGTACTAACCTTACACAGCTTGGATACGCCTCTGGCTGGCAAGTTAGAAGGGCCAAGTTTTCCGTTAGCAGCCGTCTTGGTTCTCTTACTGCTGGTGGCTGGCATTAGCAACCCGGAATGTATTCGCTCACAGCTCAGAAGGCTACAAGTCTGAATTCAGAGTGCTGGCTCTGGAGGAAGGGCCCCGTCTCCTTTCACCATCTGCAGGCCCCGCATTCCTCGGCGATCTCGGTGTGTCTTGACACCAGTCTTCCCTGGATGTAGGAGCTTCACTGTACAGGAACCCCAGGTCCAAGGCAGGCAGCCTACTCCTGGATCTTGTTTCTTGGTGGCAACCGGTCCCTCACTCTCTACCCACTTCCTTCTCCTTCTATCTCTTGTAAGAGAAAAGATATTGGAGACCACCTCCGTGGGACTCTCCTGTACTTCACATCAGGGTCCTGGTGGGATTAAGGGACTCATTACCCCCAAGAAGTGTTCCTGGTATAGTGCTGTGGGTTAATGCGCTGGACTGCAAAGTCGGTTTGAACCACATGTCGGCTGTTCAAGCTCACCAGCCATTCCTTGGAAACCCTATACAGGGTCGCTATGGGTCAAAACTGATTTCACAGCAATTAACAACAACATCACCAAGAAACAAGAGCCAGGAGTGGAGTGCGTTCTTTGTCCCTGGGGTCCCTTTGAAGCTCCCAGATCCAGGGAATAACAACCTGGTGTGGTGTTGTGGACTAATGCATCAGGCTGCAAAGCCATTTGAACTGCAAGGTCGGTGGTTCAAGCTCACCAGCCACTCTTTGGAAACGTTATATAGGGTCGCTATGGGTTAGAGCCCACTCAGGTGTGGTGCTGCAGCATAATGCACTGGACCACAAGGTCCATGGTTCAAACCCACTAGCTGCTCCTCGGAAACTGTATACAGGATTGCTATGAGTTAGAGCCCACTCAGGTGTGGTGCTGCAGCATAATGCACTGGACCACAAGGTCCATGGTTCAAACCCACCAGCTGCTCCTCGGAAACCCTATACAGGGTCACTGTAAGTCGGAACTGGCTTGATGGCACTCATCAACAAACAACATCTCACCTTTGCAGGTGCAGTGGCTCCATACGATAAGCACTGGACTGTGAACCACAAGGTCCAGTGTTTGAGCCACCAACAGCTCTGAGGGAGAAAGATGAGGCTTTGAGCTGCCACAAAAGATTTAAAAGCCTCATAACCCTACAAAAGGTCACTATGAGTCTAAACCAACTCCACGGCACTTAACAACAACGACATCCCACCCTTAATCCTCTTATTGTTTGATCACATCAGATCACATCCTCGGGGGGCATCACAGAAATGCCAGACACCTGAGAATCATGTTCCAGCCAAGTGACACCTATTTTGGGGGAAACACCATTCCATCCATGAAAGCTGTACACGGTGATGAGAGCAGCCAGCCTCATCTCTGTGGAGCGACGGGTGGATCTGAACCACCTACCTTGCAATGATCAGCCCACAGCCCCACCTGGCTCCATGTATTACAATTGCCTGTTGTTGTTAAGTGCTGTTGAGTTGGTTCATGCTTTTAGCGACCCTGTATAGTGGCCGGTGGGTTTGAACTGCCGACCTTGAGACTGGCAGTCCAGTATTTATCCTACAGCCACATCAGCAGCTTAATTTATAAAGAGAAAAGGAGCTACGTGCTACATGGGGAGTAACTTTGCGAAAACCTCAGCATGGTAGGTGGCCGGCCCGCTAGCATTGCTAACCCTGGGTTGCAGTGCTCAGCTCCAGTCACGGGGACAAATGGCCTTGCTCTTCATCCCTGAAGAGCCCCCTTTCTGATTTCCTGAGTCTGGGAGTGCCACACCTCCCAGGGCAGTGGGGTTTTCCAGATGATATGAAAGGTTTAGGAGAACGTTCTGGATGCAGCCCAATGCAGCACCTGAACCGTTAGACACGGAGGCCTCTCGGTGTGCTCAGTGAGGTACACCCACGTATGTAGTAGGATTGAATGCACTGCTTCTGGTTCTGAGATGCAAACCCTCAAGCAAGGGTCTTAGGGAGACCCCAGGTGCTCAGGACCACCCCCAGCTGCCCGCCAGCAAGGAAGTGGGGCCTTGGGTCATTCAGGTGCAGAAAACCACCGTCTGTCAGCACCTCCAGGATCAAGCGAGCAGACCCTCATGCGGGGCCCTCGGGAAGCCATGCAGCCCCGGGCACCTGGATTCTGTCCTGCAAGACCCTTCTGTGTCCTGGCCGCAGAACTGCAGGAAGCGGCGTTGGCATTGCGTTAGGCCTCCACATGTGTGAAAACTAGTGAGGACAGCAGTTGAAAAC